TCAGCATTCTGGCCTAGCTTCTCCCTGCCATCCCATTAAGAAATACCAAGTCGAACATATCATCAATTCAAGGTGATCCCCAGCAGCACTGGCCTTTTTGTCACATCTATTTTTGCTTTTGTTGTGTGATGATTTTTATGGTTGTCTGCAAGCACTTGAAAGCAAATTTTCTTTTCCTTATGCTGCCACCTGCACTCCAGTGGTTTGCTGAGGACTGGTTTAAGCTTTCTACCTCATCCTGGTTTTATCAGCTACATCCTATTGGCTGTTTCTATGGAAAAATTGATTTTACCTTAACTTTCTCAAAAATACACTAAATTTATTACTGAGAGTTTACTGTGTGTTTTCCAGCTGAAAGCATTTGTAGGTGGTGAATTGCACATTCTTGATATGAGAGATGACAAGGATTACCCAATCCCTGGGGACCTTATCGAGATCGACCGGCCACTTTACCAGCACTGGGCCCTCTACGTGGGGAATGGATATGTCATCCATGTGACACCTGTAGGTAAGGCTGGTGCAGCCTGGTAGGATGCAGAGGGGGTGTTGGGGTGCTCCAGGAGCCCTATGTCCCTGCAGGTGCTAGTGCACGTGGACCCTGTGTGTGTAGATGAGGTTTCCAGGAGCAGTCCAAAAGCCATGTGAGGTTTTGGAGGGGCCAGAGAAAGTTTTGGCTGCCTGCCTTATCTCCTCCCTGCCTTCCCCAGGTGAAAATTCTCCACCCATGTCAGCCGGTAGTGTGACATTACTTATGAAAAAGGCCAAGGTGAAGAAAGAGCTCCTGGAGAAGGCTGCTGAAAATGATAACTGGCGTGTCAACAACAAGTATGATCACTACCGCAATCCTTTCCCAGTGGAGGAGATCATCCGACGTGCTGAGCGCCAGATTGGCAGGATCGTGCTCTATCGTTTGTTCTACAAGAACTGTGAGCACTTTGTGACAGAGCTCCGCTATGGAGAGGCAGTCTCTGAGCAGGTGAGTGTCACAGGGGGAGCCCCTGGGTGCCTCCCAGAGCAGCTCCTGGCTGCTCGCTGGGAGCCGCGGGACTGGCACACAGCCTGCAGCCT